ATGAGACCTCAGAGATGTTTTTGCCACAGGTAAAAAATAAAATCATAAGAACAATGGCAACGTGTCAATTATGTACGGAAATGCATTTATACTACACGCCTACACAACCCACTCCATCAACGGTCTAGACGAAAGTTTTTCATCTAATTCAGGACATACTATAAAAGTACAGGAATTCGGGTGCAACGCTGTCCCACCTATGCCTGTAGCCTGTTTCACTCAACTGTGACTTCTTCAGCGCAGTATGTCCCGCAGCCACACCTGATCTCTCTTAATACTCTTGGCTGCAGGTTGAAGCATGTAGAAACCAGCAAGTCTACGGCAGCTCCACCTTTCCTATAGCTGACAGCATGCTTGGATGACTGGGAAGATCAGTCTGGTTCCTGCCTCCTACTCTCCATGTCCCAGTTTCACCGTGTTACACAACAGCAGCCGGCTGTCCGTCAGCATGTCCACATATACACTGCCCGCCAATTTTGTTCTGTTCACATTTTGGCAGGAATGACTCAGTGGACGAACATGTTTAGTGTGAAAGTGTCCTCAAGGAGTTGATGGTTTCTGTAGATGCTGCAGTTACTTTCTGACTGGAGATTAGGAATGGAGTAGTACTGGAGTTGCGTAGCTGTCAATGGAGCGACAGAAAGCTCTCAGACTTCATCAAAGATCTTCATTTGCGTTCTGAAGATGAACAAAAGTCTTACGAATTTTGGAACGACATGAGGGTGTTGAATGATGGCTGATTTTTTTTTTTTGGGTGAACTCTCCCTTTAATTAAGACCCAGATCTTTGAGCCATCTTTGAGGCATCTTCGACGCATCTTTGAGGCATCTTTGAGCCATCATTGAGGGATCTTTGAGTCATCTTTGAGCCATCATTGAGGGATCTTTGAGTCATCTTTGAGCTATCATTGAGCCATGATGCCATCTTTGAGCCATCTCTATAGGCATCATTAAGCCATGATGCCATCATTGAGCCATCTCTGAGTCATCTTTGAGCCATCATTGAGCCATGATGCCATCATTGAGCCATCTCTGAGACATCTTTGAGCCATCATTGAGCCATGATGCCATCATTGAGCCATCTCTGAGACATCTTTGAGCCATCATTGAGCCATGATGCCATCATTGAGCCATCTCTGAGACATCTTTGAGCCATCATTAAGCCATGATGCCATCATTGAGCCATCTCTGAGGCATTTTTGAGGCATCATTGAGCGATCTTTGAGCCATCATTGAGCCATCTTTGAGACATCTCTGAGCCATCATTGAGCCATCTTTGAGCCATCATTGAGCCATATTTGAGCCATCTCTGAGGTCTCTTTGAGGCATAGAGCCATTTCTGAGGCATCTCTGAGCCATCTTTGAGGCCTCTTTGAGCCATCTGAGCCATGATGCCATCATTGAGCCATCTCTGAGGTATCTGAGCCATCATTAAGCCATCTTTGAGCCATCTCTGAGACATCTCTGAGGTATCTTTGAGGCCTCTTTGAGCCATCTCTGAGACATCTCTGAGCCATCTTTGAGGCCTCTTTGAGCCATCTGAGCCATGATGCCATCATTGAGCCATCTCTGAGGTATCTGAGCCATCATTAAGCCATCTTTGAGCCATCTCTGAGACATCTCTGAGGTATCTTTGAGGCATTGAGCCATTTCTGAGGCATCTCTGAGGAATCTCTGAGCCATCTTTGTGTTGTCTTTGAGGCATCTTTGAGACATCTCTGAGGTATCTCTGAGGTATCTTTGAGGCATCTCTGAGGCCCCGTCCACACTACTGCGTTTTCGTTTAAAAACGGAGAATTAAAACGAAAACGATCTCCGTCCACACTAGCGTTTTACCTGCGTATTAGAATTTATCTCCGTCCACACTAAAACGACTGAAAACGTGGATCACGTGACCATTCACCAACACTGGGCATGCGCGCGCCGGTGTAAACAATGGTTGGCGAATCAGGGAAAGATACGTCATGACTGATAACACCCAATCATAGAGCCGAGCGTTAGCCTCTGCGTCATCGTTTGTAAACTCCTCCGTTTTGTCTCGTCCACACTAAAACGCCCTCCGGAGATTCAAAACGCAAAACGCAGCTGCAGCGTTTCTAAACTTCTCCGTTTTAGGTCTTCGTTTTTCCCGTTTTAGTGTGGACGGGAGGTGCAAACGTAGCAAAAGGTCTCCGTTTTTAAACGAAAACGCAGTAGTGTGGACGGGGCCTGAGGCATCTATGAACCATCTTTTTGGCAAATTGAGCATGTTGAATTGGTCGGTCAGTCAGTGATACAAATCCCTCTGATTAGCTTTTCAGCTAGTATCCAATACACGAGAAGAGAAGTAAAAGTTGATGAAAGCAAGCAAACAGGGAAGTCAAGTTGTATTCACATAAAAATTAATCATCTTCATTTTTGGGTGAACTAACCCTTAACATTTAAGGGCCAAATACCACAAATACGCTTTGAAAGTAGACAAGTGGTCAAATGCAAAAACTGCAAGTATTCGGACAGGTCAATACTTTGGAAAATGTGTTAATCATGTGACCTTGTACTCAAAATGGCAGCCAAAATGATGGTGATCGACTCTTATGGAGAACATTGCAACTTTCGTAGGCCTCTAAAAGTACTAATAATTTCTTTAAAAAATGTAAGTGTAAAAAAATTCACTGGATTTTATCCTTCAATAGACTATTTAAAAATGGGTGACAAAACAAACAAGCGTGTCTGAATGTGCTAAATGTAAAGAACACTACAAGATAAATCCATCCATTCATTCTCCAAATCGCTTGTCTTATAGGATCATGGGGATAAACCATCACATTTTTTCCAGAAATCTGCATTCTGGCTCTTCATATATGGCCCCTAGAGAGTGTTAGTGAGTCAAGCAGGGAATACTGGATGTCTGCCCAGAACGAGACCTCCATGACCCTGATGCCTGCCTTTCAAAAGTCCTTGATGCCTCAGAGACACACAGACGGCCAAGCTCGGAGCATCACACACAGTGTGCTGGATAAATGTCTATGTGCATGATGGATGTTGATCCAGGAACATGTTGTACTTAGTGAAATCACATTCACCGCATAGTATTTAACATCACTGCTGTAGAATGACGTTCATGGTGCCTGATAAAGAAGATAAAAGATTAACTGAACTGAACAGACGGAGAACAAGTTCAGTATCTTCCGTGTCCTTCATCTATGATGGCAAATCACAGACCCATGACTGTCAAAATATGTGATTCACCTCATTAGAATTCATCTGAAGTGAATCTGCCCATGATGAAAGCTGCACGTGTGCTGACTAAACTACTGAAACCAAGACTTTCGCTGTGCTGAGAACAAGGACAGCACTAAAAATTGTATTGGTTTCTAATTTCTAATTGCAGGCTAGAAAATGAAAGGAATCGTTCATCAAAAAGCAAAAGCTCAGTATTAAACCCATAAGATTTTTTTAAAATGTTCTGGTAATGTATAATAAAAGGAGTCCAAACAACTTTATTCCTCAGCCTTTTGGAATTACATATGCATGAAATTCTATATTCATTAATGCAATGGCAATTAGACGATTCAGTCAATGAACTGAAATATAATAAAACATCAGTCGGATTTATGAATCAACCAGATCAGTGCTTTGATGAGTCAACAGCACTCTCATAAATGCTCCAGAAAAGATTTGAATAACCAATTATTACATTTCAGTCACACTAAGCCGCATACTCTGTGGACTTTTGAACCAATGCAACATGAGATTTTAAGCTCCAGTAATTTAATAGAAAATTCTATTAAAATTCCTGAGAAAATTCTTCTTCAGATTTTCTCAGGTTTGAAACATTTGTTTGCATGTTCCCTTACGGTTTTTAAAATGCATATTTTGGCATTTTTTATGCATTTGTGGTTTTATATAATGCTCATGATAATATTTATATGTAGAGATGTCATGCATTTTATATTATATTGTGTTGTAATTCACTTTTTTACCAACTTAGAAAATAATGACTAACAATTTTTATTTTAGGGTGAACTATCCCTTTAAGTCAGTGGTTCTCAACCTTTTTGACTCCAAAACATTTGCTAACAATATTTAGCTAGTGTGTATTTATTGCAGTTGAATCAATGGCCCTGAAAACAAAGCAAGATTATGTTTTTATAAAGTCTGTTGATGACTATTGTAATGAATTGTGACGATGACTACTAAATGACTGTCTCTGGTAAGACTAAATAGCATATTAACGTCATAATGCATTATACATGCAAGCCTAATTACTGTGATAATTAATGGTACTGTAACAGATGAGTGTATATTCAAGAAAGCTGTGCAGTTGTGCATGTAAATGGCCAGTGTTTCTGCATTAGTAATCCTGATACTTGGCGTGTAGCACAGCAACGCCCCCCTTTTTCATGAATTCATCTGAACATCATCGCTGCATTGGGTTTCATGTGATACTCTCGCATTAGACTGCACTGATTCATCTCATTTATTTCAGTGAACGATTCAGCATAGCATCCACCGACCAACATCTGTAACACAACTATGCAAGAAACAAGCGAAACTGCTATTGCAGCTAGAGATCCGTGTCCTTAAAAAGCCCTCATTCATTCAACTGGTCCCTCAAGAACACGGCGAATGTCCTCATAACCCATTTAGATGACGAGGACGCGCGAGACAGCCTTTTTGGGCGCCTATGATGCCCAATGTGGCACGCGCCTGTGATGTCCTAAAACAAACCTATGTTTTGAGCCATGTTTAAAATCACATTGTTATAAACGAAGCATAAAAGCCAGACCTGTTTTTAAGACTCGTCGTTTTTTTTAACATAAAAACCCTCAAACAAAAATCTTTTGTATTTTACAATTAACCCCCAATTGACCACAGAGAAACACGTTAGAGGAGAACCGCCAACGATGTTAAAGTAATAACTGTGTGTGTTGTTCAAAGAGAATATTCATGACCACTCACATGCAAACAGGCGTCAGCTGTGGACCATGAGTGTGTGTGTGTGTGTGTGTGTGTTCTTACCTGAAACGGGGAGAATCTTTAATACAATCCTCAAAATCCACTGTCATTTTTGCAGTTATTCCTTCTTTCAGTTAAAAATGTAACACAGCATTGCCGGTGGTTGTAAGACGCCTGAATGTAAAACGCAAGTGTATCCCTTTCCCCGGTAAAACAGTGACACTGTGACACACTGCTACAGATCTATGTGGATCAGTTTCAGCGCTGTGAGAGCTAAGGGACCGTCGTCAAATATGCGGCACAACATGATAAGGGAGCGTCCTTCAAATATCACACATTTTTACTCTGTGTGTGTGTGTAATATTTGCTTTAAAGGAGTAGATACTTTACTCACCTCTATGTCATCCAAGATATCCATGTCATTCTTTCTTCAGTCGAAAAGAAATTAAGGTTTTTGATGAAAACATTCCAGGATTTTTCTCCATATAATGGACTTCAATGGGGTCCAAACGGTTCAGGGTCCACAAGACAGTTTCAGTGCAAAGGGCTTTAAAAGATTCCAGACGATGAATAAGGGTCTTATCAAGCGAAACGATCACTCATTTAATAAATAAATAACAAAGTTTAAGTTTTATAAGCTCAAATGGTCGCCTTGCGTTCATGATTCTCCTATTCGAACTCGTTCATCAAAATGAACAAATCTTTTCCCGAGTCAACTCGTTCATTTCGTTCGTTGAATCAACCAAATGACATGAAAAAAGATTCGTTCATTTTGATGAACGAATTCGAACAGGAGAGTCACGAACACGCATCACAGAACTGAGCAAGGAGAGCATTTGTGCTTATAAAACTTAAACTTTGTTTTTATTTTAAATGAGTGATCGTTTCGCTTGATAAGACCCTTATTCATCGTTTGGTGTCGTTTAAAGCCCTTTGAAGCTGCACTGAAACTGTCTTTTGGATCTTGAACCGTTTGGACCCCATTGAAGTCCATTATATGGAGAAAAATACTAGAAAGTTTTTATCAAAAACCTTAATTTGTTTTCGACTGAAGAAAGAAAGACATGGACATCTTGGATGACATGGGGGTGAGTAAATTATCAGCAAAAGTTATTTTTAAAAGTGAACTACTCCTTTAACTGTGGCTTCCCATTCAGAATTCCCATTACTCCATTTTATAGTCTTGATGGAGTGAATGAAAACGAGTGAGTTCAGACACTAAGTGTGCCGGTTTTGTTTGTGCTTGCTGTTTTATAATCATTTGAAAACTGTCAGCTCCAGATTTATCTTGAACTGTGTCATGGAAACTACTGTATATGTATAAACCTTAATTAAACCTATTAAAGCACAACCCTTAAAGTGCATTATGGGTATTCTCCAGCCGTTGAGCATATGTCATTATTGGGGTGCATTATGGGATTGAATGGGTGTGCTTGATAACTTCACTATGGTTTTGGACACCACACATAGCACCCTATAGCATACCTCGCCCCCTATGCCCTATTTAAGGTAAAGGGGGCGATTTCAAACACAGCCTGTATGTTTTTAAAGGGATAGTTCACCCTAAAATGAAAATTAAGTCATCATTTACTCACTATTGTCTTGTTCTAATGCCGCATGCACTTCTTTCTGTTATGGACCGCATAATGAGAAAGAAAAAAAATTATAAAAATGTCCCGCTCGAGCTTGTCCGTTAGTGGCAGACAGTGAATAGCAGGGTTCAGTGAAAACAAACCAAAATGTAATGTATTTAACGTAATTCTTGACCTTGGCCGTTGGGCTTCTGGACGATGAACACATTCGTGAGACGCCATTAGCACCGCAGTTCACCCCATGTCGCTCTGGAAAAGCATACAAGTTGTGAGAAATCAAGATCAACCAAAACACGAAATACAAAGCCTAGAAATCTGTGTGCTTTCTTCACTGAGTTAAATATCTCTGGACCGGAACTTCTTGCCTGAGAAGGACAATTGAATGTGAAAACTTCTGAGTATACTCATCTCAGAGAAGAAGGTACATCATGTTACATAAATAGTATTTTTAAAACATAAAAAGTATTTAATATCCTTTTGTGGCCCATAATAGAAAGAAGGGAATACAGGAATCATAGAACAACACCAGGGTGAGTAAATTATTTTCGTTTTAGAGTGAGCTATCCTTTTAACTTTTCTTATAAGGTCATCCTTCAAATATATAAATATATATATTTTTACACCAGTAATAAATATTTTAATTATTTTTTCTTTCAGCAACACTTTACAATAAGGTCCCACTCCCATTAGGTAACATTAGTTAAGGAACTAACAAGAAGCAATATCTACATTTTACAGTATTTATTAACGGTACGCTGTAAGTTTTGATACAGTTAATAAATCAAATTACGAATCACCCTTTTCACCTAAAAATCCTCCATTTCGTTCCAAAATATTCTACAACAAATGCAGTTGAAACAAATAAACGAACAACACTCTGCTTCTACATTCCACAAAACTCACATTTAGTATCCATATCTGTATAAAATCTTTTTTTTTTTTTTTTATGTTTTAACAATATATACCAGAGCTCTGTCAATCATCATTACGTCAGGTTTGTCCCTGGCTGCTCCCGCGGATTTTTTTGAACGATTTTTTGTCGTCCTCCAATTCCGCCTTTAAATTTCCAACATTTAGAAAATAAATATTGTAAAATAAAGCCAAACATGGCATTAAAATAAATACATTTTGTAAGATAAATGCGTCTCAAAGCTGAAAAGATGTGTGTTTTAAGTAATTTGGCAGTTCAACGCCTTTTTTTTTAAACAGGCATCGCTTAGGCTTCTAAACGTCAGACAGCAGCTGTGTTTACATTTGTGGCGCTCGCTCTCACACACATGCCTCTGATTTTCAACATAACTTGTATCGTGTGTGGTATTTGCGGTATACGACATCTAATGGCTATTTATTTATTGGCCGTACACGTCCACTGCTTTTTCAATCCTGTTAACTTCTCGTTCTGACAAACTTCAAACGAATATAGCGGGAAACATGCTAACGTTACACTCCACCGCCCGTTATTTAATCTTTTTCCAATACGCAGGGACCAAATACAGGTCTGTCTCCATCATGTCAAGCTTCGTCCTTATTGAGCTGTTATAAGTTCTAACACCACATGTCTGCTTGTCCTTCTATCCTCAGTGGCGTGATGAGAATACCAGCCGATCAAGCTGGACAGGGGGTGGAGAATCATTTAGAGGTCAGTCTCAGCCTGACAATCAAAACCAGTTCACTATCTCAAATAGCTTTTCCTCATGCCTGATGCCAAGAAAATGTTTAAAATTGATCCAGTTCTCTATTTTACTCCATTCAAATTCTCTGATTCTGGTGCTTGTCTCGAAACACCTCTTCAATGTCTGCTCCTTAAACCGCATTTCTTTTAGAAATGTAATTTAAATGTTTTCCTGTGTGATGTATTTCTGTTGGCTCTCTGTGATTGGATTTGTTGCACTTAAAAAGTAGTGTTGTAGTCAAGACCAACTAACCCGAGACCAAGACAAGACCAACGCCCCACACTACAATGACACAATAAAATGTGAAACAAAAGAGATTGATCTGAAAGATCCACATTCCCATAAAAGCAGAGATATTTAACACTCAAAGCTGAAATAAACTATCTTTATTCAATACTCCTGGGTGACTTCCATCATTTAGTACAGAATGTAAAACAAGTCTTCACTTTCTCTACCTTTTATTAATAGTATGAACATGAATACATGGGTGACAGGCAGCGGTAACAAAAATACATAATTAGCAATGACCAATGAGTCACGTTATTGCTTGGATTTGGATCAGTATGTTTTACTTACAATAAAAGCAAGGATGTAAACAAAAAAATAGTCAATATACTGGCAAATTAGTGATATTTTCACAATTATGGTCTTGAAGAAAAATCCTGAGTCCTCAATGTCCAAGACCGAGACCATCAGAAAGTGGTCTCGAGACCGGTCTTGACTACTACAACACTATTATTAAAGTAATGAAACACTAATTTGTCAAGGATAAAGTTAAAAACTTGTTTCCATTCCCATCCTTGAAACTTAACTCTTAGCAACAGGTACCTAGTATTATAAATACAAAATTACAAAAAATTGCACATTTACAAAATCTATTGAAGGAGTTTCACCACACTCACGATAAACAAGGTGCCAGGCAGACAAGACTAGAAAACTAAAAAAATAAAAATAAACTCTCCGCACACTTGAATCCTTAAAGCAAATGTAATTAACATGCAAAAGACCATACTCAGGACATACAGACAATAAATGTAACATTCCAATTAACTGTGTTCATCAGGACAATCAACAGTGATTACCAACACCTGCAGAAGCCAGGTAGGACCAGTTGTAGTCCAATGGTGGGAGTTGTAGTTTTTCTAGTTCATTAACACATTAAAGGAGTAGTTTGCTGATAATTTACTCACCCCCATGTCATCCAAGATGTCCATGTCTTTCTTTCTTCAGTTGAAAAGAAATTAAGGTTTTTGATGAAAACATTCCAGGATTTTCTCCATATAATGGACTTCAATGGGAACCAAATGGTTCAAGGTCCAAATGAGAGTTTCAGTGCAGCTTCAAAGGGCTTTAAACAACACCAGACGATGAATAAGGGTCTTATCAAGCGAAACGATTGGTCATTTCATAAATATATAAAAAAGTTTAAGTTTTATAAGCACAAATGCTCGCCTTGCTCTGTTCTGTGATGAGCGTTCATGACTCTCCTGTTCGAACTCGTTCATCAAAATGAACAAATCTTTTTTCGAGTCATGAATCAAAGGGTCCTAGATAAGACCCTTATTCATCGTCTGGTGTCGTTTAAAGCCCTTTGAAGCTGCTCTGAAACTCTCATTTGGACCTTGAAACGTTTGGTTCCCATTGAAGTCCATTATATGGAGAAAAATCCTGGAATGTTTTCATCAAAAACCTTAATTTCTTTTCGACTGAAGAAAGAAAGACATGGACATCTTGGATGACATGGGGGTGAGTAAATTATCAGCAAAAGTTTTTTTTAAAAAGTGAACTACTCCTTTAACTAAACATAGTGCAAATCACCACTACAAGAAACGAACATAAATGCACATATACAAAAATACAGGCGCATTTATATATAAATATATATACACACATTCATACATGCTTGCTGTATAAGTACATGGATTGGAGACTGCAAAAACATCAGTAAAAAACCTTCATAAACTGCAGTATATCAAGAAAAAAAAAAAAAAAAAACAGTACAGCTG